TTTATTGGTAAATTGCTCTGCAAGTAAACCGTTATTAAAAATATTCTTGTAATTTTTATAAGAATATTATATGGATAAAAACCGTTAGTTACAAATATTATTCTATTTTTTATATATAGATATATAGGTTAAAACTTTTTATGGATGATTTTTGTTAGGATCAAATCATCGAACATGTTTCTGACCGGACCGGCATTGACCCGAGTTTTTTTTATTTTTTTTATTTTTAAAATAAAATTATGTATATTATTTGGTAAATGATTATGACATGATACAATATTATTAAACTTTCGGTACACAATTTACATATAGATTATTTATTTGTATTTATGTATTACTCTTATGTATAGTAATATGAAAAAATAATATAAATATAACTTTAATTAATATTATTTTTTAAAAGTTTTATAATACAATTTTTAAAATGCAATTTTTAATAGTTAAATTTTTAAAATACAATTTTAATAGTATTGAACTATGCTCCTATATATAGTTTGCTTAATTGAAATTACCACCTCTAGAATTTAGCATTGAGATACATTGAAAATTGATTACTGTTCTTGTATGTACCTTGACAAAAATATTTATAAATAATTTTTTTTTTTTTAATATTCATCATAGCAAAACTATCTACATTTTTGTAGATAACTTAATTTTTTTTTCGGTACATAGACAAATTACTTTTGATGGTTTATATAAAAGAAGCTAATTAAAACAAGGAGTAGAACTAATAAAAAAAATTTAAAATTTCTCACTAAAACAATTTAATTATTAATTCAACCCGACATAAACATATATAATCACGGCCTAAACTAATGAAATTCGAAACCTAACATTATTAGAAACCAATAATATAAGATAATCAATCGATTATTCTTATGAATTATTCAATCCTGTTAGGACATTATTAGTTATTTATCCATTGATTTTTCTGGCTGAGGTTAGATACTTTTCTCCTCCCTCCTCGTACAATTCCATCCTCCACGTGTCGGTCGAGCCACCGTGGCCGAGGTCCCTAGCCCTTATCTCGATCCACACGTACAACCTCGATCCTACCTGGCGGGTCCCGCCTTGCGTGACCGACTTAAAATCGAGATATTCGTTGTTTGAAGCCATTGTTTTCGAGTATTCGGATGCCGCAAATTTCCCAAAACCGACCACTTTACTATCCCTCGGTTTCAAGATCGGTTTCCATGGCACTCTACCGGATGAGCCACCGCCACACGTACTTGACGAGCCAAAACAACCTTCAAAAAAAAAAAAAAAATTAGATTCAATAAATTGATTATTATTTATTTACTTTTTTCAAATTGTTTAAAAAAATAACAAATGTTAACAAGAGATGGCATAACTTACTCATGTTTTAGGGGTTATTTGAGAAAGCTTGACCTTTTGTACGTAATTTTCTTTTCTTGATGGAGATTAATTAGATTTGGGGTTTATTTATAGGCACACTCATGCCATAGTTAAAAGATATGGTTGTATGGATTAATAAGATTTTCGAAAGAGAGAATATATATAAGATTTTGTTCATGTGAATGAAAGATTTGTTAATTTGAATATAATAAAATAAATCAGATATTTTTTATTTTTTTTTTTTCTCTAGAGGAAAGAAAAATGGGTAAAAAATATAAAATTATGCTTGTAATTAATAATGTTTCGAAGAATATATTTAGAACAAAAGGCCTACCAAATTCATAGGATCTTTTAAATACTAATATCTAATTTTTATATAGACTAAGATAAAATCAGAGATTTATTATTATGAACAATATTATGTAGACTAGT